GTGTGTGTGTGTGTGTGTGTGTGTGTGTGTGTGTGTGTGTGTGTGTGTAAGAGAGACTGGCTTTTATTGCCCCTAAGGTAACTGGCCTTCTGTTTGTTTTATTTGTCCCTTGAATTAAGAGATCAGAGAGTAGGTAAATACTGTTTTCCAGAAACCAGATCTATAATCTTTCTCATAGTCTAAGACTCCCAATCCTTTTCTGTCTAGAACACCTAGTACACAAAGGTAAGGCCACATATAGCCACAGATGAACAGATTAATGTGCTATAACTGGAAGTTTGCCAGCAGTAAGGAGTAAATGCTGTGTCTTCTGTTCCCTTGTCCCCACCTCTCCATTCCTTTCTAGAATGGTTTTGTTTTATTGATGAAAGCTCTAATGTAGGAGAGGGAAAAAAGAAATGGAACTTTTCAAGTATTTTTGCATTTCGGCATTCTTCTTTCCCATCCCCCATCAGTCCCATCAGAGAAAGATAACCATTTATCTCATGAGAACCAAACCAAAGGAAGTCAATAGCAGTGGACATAGTGTGGTCCAAGGCGTGATCCAGAGTAAAATCTTCCCTCAGAAGTGTGGACATGTAAGCCAATTAATGACATTGTAAGAAATTCTAAGTTTTATGGTTTTAAGAGATGATAGGGTTATAAAAAGCAGTTAAGAATAAGAATTGAGTACATGATGAGAGCTGTTACCCTACCAATGAAAGTAGGTAAAGAGTTCAGCATCTCTATTACAGACAGATGACTCTGAGATATGATTAAGAACCTTTAAAGTCCTTCATGTGCATAGGAAAAATTTTTAAAGGTGTTGGACTATAACAATTGAAAAATTAAAGCTCTTAAATGTGGAAATGTTAGCATTTCAGCTTGGGGGAGGAAATCTGGCTTCTTTTCTATAAGAATACACACCTGACTTATCATACATGTTTAATTCATAAATAATTCCCTTACACAAATCATTTTGTCCTGCTTCTGTTTATAACTTAAGTGTTGCTTGGTCCAAGGAACTATTTTCAAGAAATGCTAAATAGTTTATACATTTTTTATGTCTTTTTCAAACTTCTTCCAAATTTCCAGATTTAATGTTTGTAGAGGGTCTCATGGGAAATTTTTCCTTAATTTAATTATTTCTCTTGGTTCCTCCTTTATTTCAGCTTTCACCCACAATCATCAATGGTTTGCACAACATTGCAAGGAGCATTGAAACTCGAAACTATTCAGAAGGATTGACCATCCATACGCACATAGTCAGCACCAGCAACTTCAGTGAGACCTCTGCTTTCATGCCAGTTCTCAAAGTTGTTCTCACCCAGGCCAATAAGCTGGGTGTCTAAAAGGACAGCTTCACTCCCAGCCAGTATTGCCGTTTTCCCAAAGAAACATGTTTTAAAAAAATGATAAGATATGGACCAATCTTCATTAGCATGTTTCCATAGCAGCCAGGCCAGAGCACTTACACTATTTCTGCAGATATACTCACCTCACAACTGCTCAAAACCCTGGTACTTTCTTTTGTTTTACTCTTTTATTGCCCATGATGATTTGCCTTTTCTGCAAATAGTGTATTTCCTGAATTATACATAGTGTGTTTTCCTGAGGTCTTCTGATAAAATGTGGCTTTGAAAACCTCAGTATACTTTTTGGAAAAGGAGCATCTGGTTATGTATAAATAAAGCAGAGCTAAAACTGAATTTCATGTCCTCCCCACTTCCTCCATGTCAATCAGATTAAAGTGTGTAATCCTATTTTATGTGTATGTAGTCTTTTTTAAAAACAGCTGCTCACTGGTTTAATCCCTGTTTTTTGTGTGCTTGGCTTTACTCTGTCCTATACAAATAAAATCTAAAGGTTGTTACATAGATTTTAGCAAATATTAATAAAAATTGGGATCACTAGCTTGAAGTATTTAAAGGAAAAGACTGGGCATTTTCATTCTGTAGAATGCATTGAACTTTTTTCTATTAATAAATGTTTTCAATATTCTGTTTGAGTTTTAAGATTGAGTTGTCTCCATTTTGTATTTAGAAATTTATTCATCCATTTTTTAAAAATTGCCTATAGCAGTTTAACTTCAGAAAGAAAACTTAATTTCTGTCAGCCTCCTGAATTAAAACCAGACTTTTCTTGGCCAGTTTTTCTGTCAAGTAATTTTATTATGATCTGTCTTAAGACCAGTGTGGTAAGCAAAAGATAAAGGTCCCCTGGAATCTTGAGGAAAATTATATACTAGTAATTTTTTTTGTTGTCTGTGAGTTGGCAAACAAGAAAATAAACACTATGACTACTGTGGAGATAGAGGTGCTGTTTCAGGGAGTATAGTTCATCAGGCCTGTTGCACCCTCAGTGAAAGAGTTTGCAAGAAACTCTTAATTTCTTTTGCTGAGATTACCTATCTACCAAATAAAACCCCTCTTTTAAAAAGTAACTAACTCAATTCTTAGCTCAAAATAGTTCTATAAGTAAAAAAAGGAGGAGTTTAATAGCATGTCTGAGCATTGGAGCATCAAAAATGGGGTGATATATCAGCACACTGGGAGTTTAGGAGTCTGGGTCAGTTCTGTCACTCACTGAAGTAGCAACTTGGCCTACTGGACCTGACCCCACTGTGGTGTCAGCCCAGGACCCATCTGAATGGCAGGCTGGCTTCCAGTAACTTTTTCATTGATTGCCCTTTATACAATTTAGGATTGTATAAAGTTAGGATTTATATTATATTTATAGTGATGGAGTTAGGATTTGTGTTATGGCTGCATGTGGACCCTGACATACATATATACATATATAAATAAATTTATGCCCTTTATACAATTTGGGATTGTATAAAGTTAGGATTTATAAATATATATATATTTATTGAGCTACAATTTGTGTTATGGCTGCATGTGGACCCTGACATGACAATGGCATAATTGGCAGCATTTTCCAAAAAAAA